GCGTTGTACCCAGTCCTCCAATTACTGGCTTCGAGCAACTCAAGCCTTCAGAGACATGCGATGACGTGTCTGAACCTGCTCACGGATGCATGCAACTACCCGGACGCCAGCACTATGGTCATAGAGAACGTTGACTACCTTGTGAACTCAGTGGCGCTGAAGCTGAATACCTTCGATGTATCTCCCTATCCGCCCCAGGTGCTGCTGATGATGGTTAAGCTCTGCGGTGCACGGCTGATCCCGTACCTGGACGATCTAGTGGATTCCATCTTCGGCATCCTAGATATGTACCACGGCTATCCCAAGCTCGTCGAGCTGATGTTCCGCACATTAGCGGCCATTGTCGACGAAGGAACCAAAACTCCCGCCATGCTAGCAATTAGCGACGGCAAAGGCAGCACCACCAAGCCCGACCACCGCAAGAAGAGATACGAAAGTCTGCTGATCTCGACCCTCGCGCAAGACTTCGCCCAGCGACGAGCCAAACGCGCCAAACTCACACACGAGCTCCCCGCCGAGCCCATCGCGCACCCTCGCAAGCCCTGGAAGAGCTCACCCCAAGACGAACAAACACCCCCCACCGAATTCGACAACACCCTCGTCGAGTTAGAAAATGACGAATCCGACGAGCCCCTCCCGGCCCCGAAGGAACCAGAAGACGGCGAAAAGCCGCTGAGCAAACCGCACACCCTCCTCCTGCACATCGTCCGCTCGATCCCGTCCTACCTCACCTCCCCGTCCCCATACCTCCGCCACTCCCTCCTCACCATCCTCACCGACGTCTTCCCAACCCTCTCCCCCAACGAAAACAGTTTCTTGCCGCTGATCAACGATCTCTGGCCCACCCTCGCCGCCAGAATCTGCTTCCCATCCTCCCCAATCACCACCACCACCTCCTCCCCCACTACAGCGACAACATCCAAACCCCATTCTACGCCCACAGCCCTAACCCTTACCACCCCCATCCCCCCAGAAAACCCAGAATCCCTCGAAGAAGAAACCTACGTAACCACAACCGCCTGCCACGCCATCCGCACCCTCTGCCACGCAGCCGGGGACTTCCTGGCTTCGCGCGTGGAATCCGAATTCCCCCGCTGGGAGCGCCTGTACCGCCAAACGTGGACGAAAGTCCGGCATGACGCCGAGAAGGCCCTCGAGCGGCGGTCGCGGCAGCACCAACCCCAACCTCCGCACACGAAAACGATTCTCGACGTCACGTCCCCGGAGAACCAAACACATCCAACCACAGAAACGCCCAAATTCCACCTTACGCAGTCCCTCTCCCTGCACGCGACCAGCGCCCGCACCTTCACGCCGCATCACGCCATCTGGCGCGGGCTACTCCCGCTTTTCATCACCCTGCTCACGCACGTGCGGCTTCCGCTGAAGGTCGGGGATGCGATCGCTCGGTTTGTGGTGGAGTGGTTGGTTTTGTTTGCCGCCGGTGGTGGTGGTGGTGGTGGGGTGGAGGTGTATGAGCTGTGGTTAGCGAGGCAGAAGTCGAGTGATGGCGGGGTTGTAGGTGGACGGGTCGGTGGCGGTGGGGAGGATCAAACCGAAACGAAATCTGCTGATTTAAGGTCGATCGAGGAGGCGCTGGAGGCGCTGGAGACGTGGAATGCGGATTTGACGTGGTTTCTCTTCCAGGAGCACCGGGCTCGCGGAGTCGGGTCGAACACCAAGAAAACCGCGCCGAGGAGTGGTCCCTTGATTTGCGAGGTGGTTGAGGAGCCTTTGAAGGAGTGGACCGTCCCGGGGAAGGGCTTGAGGTTCGCAGAGTTGAGTTTTTGAACAAGTACAAATCGTCGGCAACTTGGACAGGACAGAGTGGTACATATACTGCCTACGAAAGCTGGATCTACTATTTAGTGTGGAGATAGATGTATAGAGCAGAGAAGTTTATTGGTAGCTAACTAATATGTTCTCGTCTTGTGTAAACCTCTCAGACAACAAACTCAACCAACAGCGGGTTAGAACCGAATATACGAATCAAATGAGTGGATTCGGTGAGACAAACAATAAGCGAAGAAACAACTAGAGGCAAAATCCCGAAAGCGATCGATCGTCTAGAACTAGAACTGGGAAACCAGTAAGCTGGCGGCAGTCTACTCATCGTCTTCCTCCTCGCTCTCCTCCTCGCTCTCGGCGTTTTCAAGCCACTCGAGGAAGGGCTCAGCGGCCTTGCGGACCTTCTTGCTAGTCGAGATGTCGACGTACTTCTTGCTAGCCTTGGAACCCCAAGCCTTGAGGGTGTCCTCAGAGATGAGGTCGTGCTCGTAGTACTTCAGGAGCACAGCAGGAATCTGCCCGATCAGCTCGGGGCGGTCCTTGCCGACGAAGCGCTCGGTTCCACCCAGGAAAGCCTTCTCGTGACGCTCGGAAGTGATCATCTTCTTGAGAAGACCGGCACGGGCGGGGATCTGCTTGACGATCTTGTCGTCGAAGATGGTCTGGGCCAAGACAGCGAGAGTCTTGTGCTTGCCCTCGATGCCATACTCCTTGGCCTTCATGTAGATGTCGACATCACTGACACCAGTGACGCCACCCTTCTGGGCGGCAGCGTCGATGATCCAGCTACCAAGCTCATCGTAAGCGGACGGGCCATCGGCACCGTCCTCGTCGGCATCCTCAAGGACCAGGGTGCGCTTGAGATCATCGGGAAGCTCCTTGGCACGAGCCTTGACGGCCTCCTCAGAGACGTCGACCGCCCAGTCATCGTCGTCAATCTCATCTTCGGCCTCAATGTTCTGGGCCTGAGCCTTGATGCGGCGGGTGAGCTCGTCGTCGCTTCCTGCTTCCAGGGCGGCATCGGGGCTCTCCTCGTCGCCATTGTCGGAGTTGCTGTCTCCGGGGCTGCCATTGCTGTCACCGTTGGCTGCCTTACTCTTCTCCTTCTTACGCTCGCGGCGATCCTTCTTCGAGGCCTTGTCCTTCTTTCCTCCCTTGCCCGAGGCGACATCACGCAGGATGAAGGTGCTCAGCTTGAGACGGGAGTCGACCTCGGAGCGTTGACCACAGGCCTTGCAGTCCAAGAAGATCTTCTCGTCCTTGATGTTGACATCCGTTTCCGGATTCTTGCATTTCTTGCAGAGCACGAACTTAGAGATGAAGCCATCGAGATAGTCCTGAAGCTTGGGGGCATCATGAGCACCGTTGATGATCCAGCGGTCATCGGTCGGCTTAGCGTTGGCCTGAGCACCGAGCTCGAAGCCGAAGTACTTGATGACATAAGCAGGAGGCCGAGCCAGAGACTGAGCGACCGAGTTCAAGTTGACGACGACGGTCTTGATACCGTTGCCTTTGCCCTCGATCTTCGACTGCAGGCGCTCCATCTTGTAGCGGTAGAAGGGATCGGAGACATCCCGACGAATGTTGACAGTAGCCATGATGACGGTTGGGGTGGATGAAAATCTTCAGGAGAACTGATTGTTGTGGTTATATTAAGCGGGGAGGATTCTGGACCAGGGATATCTTGTCAGAACAAGACATGCGTAGGTTCCTAGTTGCGAAGGAATGGTGGCGGTTTTTTGTTTTGCGATCGTTTAGAACGAGAACGATAGAGGGCAGCCCAAAAGCTTTCAGCCACAGGACTTCGAATGTCTACTACAAGGTTTCGACGTGAAGCGAAACGATTGCAGCTTGAGCGGCAGGTGGTGATCGAAATCTCTGACGCAGGACGAATACATAGACAAGTTCTCGACCGACTCTATTTTCAGTGGCTTTCTCTGGCAGGAAAGAGAGAAACCAACGGGTGGTTCTTCTGTGGGGGAGGGAAAATCGACGCGGTCAGATTCGTAATGCTGGAAAGGATGGTGGCAGTGAGACTAACCAGAGTGGCTTGTGGGTGAGCAAAACTTGAGGTGCAAACCAGCAGGCAGGAACGGTCGCCTGAAGGGTGAGTTAAGAGGACAGCAGCGTATAACGCCGATGGAGTTTGGATAAAAAAAAGGGGGGTGGTTGACGAAAACCGAGAAGTGATGTGATAGAAAGTGGGTGAGAAAGAAAGAAGAAAGAGAAGAGGAAGAGCAGGAGATGCGAGCGCGGGTAGAAAAGGCAGAAAAGGTCCCCAAACAAAAAAAGTCCGACCCGGGTTTGTGCCAAGGACTGATTGGGAAGGAATGGAAAAGGTAGGCACTTTGCTTCCTGCCTGAACAATCTGGCCACCGAGTGAAAATTTGACGTGAAAAAATGGGATGCTGAGTCAGCTCAGTTAACTAAGGATGCCGGCCTTCCGGTTACACGTGCTCCCATTCAGTCAATCCAGTCGCTAAACTATTGCTTGCTCTTTCATTATTATTGTCCTCTTGGTCCGAGGCAACTATGGTTTGCTCCGACGTTATCCCCGAGATCCTCGTGTTAGTGTTTTCAGGTTGTTGCCGCTGCCGCTGCCGCTGCCTGCTCCCATGAACCCTGCCCAAGCCTGATATGAATGCCATGCATTCGTCTCAATTCGATGCTACATGAATTACTACGTAATTACGACAATGGCCTGCCTGCTAGGCTACCACCACTCCGTAGTTACACAACCAGAGTGTGGCCTGCTTACTCTGGACAACTTATCCCGGCCAATCTTTTCCAATGAAGTAGCTCTGATATTCGAGGACTCACCGCCACCTGTCTTGTCACACACACAGCTCAGGCACTGTGGAATATGAAGTGCGTTGCGGTAGGATGTGCTGGGATGCCTTGGACAAGCAAGGAACCTTAGAGATCACTCGGTCTAATTTTGCGTAGCAATCGTCCAGATAGGGTGGAATATATAGTCAAGGCATTCATAGCATCGAGCCATGCAGCGAGCCATGCAGTAAGCAAATTGTTGGATGTTTTCAGCATACCCTGTGTAGCATTTCTTGCGTCAATCGTCTCAGACACCAACAAAAATCTCAAAATGCATATCAAAACGTTGGTGCACCAGCTTGCAGCAGCAAATCGCCATCGACCACAAGGATGTCGTCGGCCGTCCGTATAGAATGACTAACTTTCGGGCGTCCCCACACACTGCCCGACATTGCGAAAAGCCTCTTCCAACCGCCCGAGTCCCTCACCAAGGATCTTGGATTGTGTGTAAGTCGCTCAGTGGGTATGTGTTACTCTTGATTGTCTTTCCCCGCACGGGTGCAACTAATTTTACGATTGCATTAACTTGCATTGTTGGTGGCTCGTTCCCGCACCCCCACGTGTGCCCCTCGTTGCAATGTCACGAAAAACTAAATTAACCGCATCTTCTAGCCCCAGGACATCCTGATAGTCTGTAAATATGGCTCTCGATCTATCTGTATACTTGGTCACCGACTCCACCCCTGCTATTCTCAAGGGTCGGGACCTCTGTACTGTCGTTGAAGAGGCCCTCAAAGGAGGTAGGTGCTTTCTCTGTCTGCAATGGACACCCCCACTGACCACTTATCTCAGGCGTGACTATCGTGCAGTACCGCGAGAAGAAGGCCGACACAGGCGCTCAAATCGAGACAGCCAAGAAGCTGCACCAGATTACCAAGGCTTATGGAGTGCCATTGCTGATCAACGACCGTGTTGACGTTGCTCTGGCCGTCGGAGCGGAGGGTGTCCACCTGGGCCAGGATGACATGAGTATGCATCTCCCATCGCCGTGTTGCAATTCACCGTGCTGACTGGTTGCAGCGATTGAGGTAGCCAAGAAGCTTCTCCCGGAGAATGCCATCATTGGCATCAGCGCGGGGTCTGTCGAGGAGGCCCAGAAGGCGATTGCGGCGGGCGCTGACTATCTCGGCATTGGCACCATGTTCGCCACTCCGACGTAGGTGCTATATGTTGGCTCAGGGTACAAGACATCGGCTGACCAGCGCCAGGAAAACGAACACAAAGCTAATCCTCGGTACAGCCGGCACCCAAGCCATTCTGAAAGCCATCTCCGAGACGGGCCGGACGGTGGGAACCGTCTCCATCGGCGGAATCAAGCAGTCGAATGTGCAACGCGTCTTGTACCAGTCCCGTGCGCCGAACAAGGGTCTGGATGGCGTCGCCATCGTCAGTGGCATCATGTCTGCTGATGATCCCAAGGCTGCCGCGGCCGAGTTCGTAAAGCTCGTCGCCAGCCCACCTGCATTCGTACACAGTGGGCCGTCGGCTTCGGCGCGGGAAACCACCACACTCCTCAAGAAGGTTCCCCAGACGATTCAAGATATGGTGAAGGCTCATCCGCTGGTACACAATATGATCAACTATGTCGTGGCCAACTTTGTCGCCAATGTCGCTCTTTCCATGTACGATTCCCCCTCGCGGTGCTCACAGACTTGACAAAAGGCTGATAACCTGTAGGGGCGCTTCCCCAATCATGTCTCCATACGGCGACGAAGCCGTCGATCTCCGTCAGTTCGGCGGTGCTCTGGTGATCAACATGGGCACTCTCACCAGCGAGAGCATTCCCAATTACCTCAAAGCTCTGAACGCATACAACGAGCGTGGCAACCCGGTGGTATACGATCCGGTCGGAGCCGCTGCGACCAGCATTCGTCGGGGCGCCGTCAAGCAGCTCATGGCGGGCGGATACTTCGACCTCATCAAGGGAAACGAGGGTGAAATTCGACAGGTATTTGGGAGCAGTGGCGTGACACAGAGGGGTGTCGACAGCGGCCCCAGTAGCCTTGACGATCAAGGAAAGGCTCGGTTGGCTCTTGAGCTTGCCAAGCGAGAGCGTACGTTTCATCATACGTTCCCATCATTCTAAATTCTCACAATCTTATAGGGAACCTCGTCCTCCTGACCGGTGCGGTTGACTACCTGAGCGATGGCGAGCGCGTCATTGCCGTGGAAAACGGCCACGAACTTCTCGGCCAGGTCACGGGAGTAAGTGCATCGACCACCTCTCTTGTCTCCAATTGCTAATGACGGAACAGACCGGCTGCGCTGTTGGTACGGTAGCTGGATGCTTCATGGCCGCCAACCCGAAAGACAAGCTCCTTGCCGTGCTGGCAGGTCTTCTGATGTACGAGATCGCTGCTGAGAACGCGGCGGCCAGGGAGGACGTCCGGGGGCCGGGAAGCTTTGTTCCTGCTTTCCTGGACGAGCTGTATGCCATCCGGCAGGCCGCGTCGAAGGGGGATGACAGTTGGTTCAGTGAGCGGGCGAAGGTGCGGGAGATCAGTTTGTAAATAGAGTAGTAGTAGTAGTTATACTCGGTAGTCTGATACCGCCGTCTGATATGTATGCCCGATAAACCAGGCTGCCAATACCTCGGCCCTTCCCCGCACCGCTCCCGCCCGTTTCCCCGCTCTGCACTCCGACTGCAACTGCAACTGCCTCCTGCTGATCTTGGCTATAAATTCTCCCCGATACGCCCGTCCCTACCACCGACCACTGCACATTCCCAGCAAAGTGTCAGAAGCTTAAACTCTGCAAAGATGGCCACTCTCACTCGAGCCACGCGCATTCGTATGTCCAATCCCTCATTCCTCCCAATTCCACTGCCATCGAAAACGTCAAACTAACCCACTACCTTAAACCACAGGCAACCCAGCCCTCTTGTACGTCTGAGACCACCAACAACGAACATAATCTCCCCTCCCCTAAAACCACACAACGCAGCCAACGAATCCCCCCAAGCAACCTCAAAAACTAACAAGGAAAGAAAAGCATCTGCGATATCCAAGAAAAATTCCGCAATGTAATCCACGAATTCCCCAAAGTGTACGTCCCAACCCCAGTGCCCCCAGTACCCCCAGTCCAATCCCCAATCCCCATCCCCCAATCCCCCACCAAACCAACCTAAACCCCCCCAGAATAACAACAACCACCAAACTCCTCCGCGCGACGCAACCCCTCGACACGCCAATCTACCTAACAACCCAAAACCGCGCCCGTCTCGGCGACACCGTCTCCGAACTGAGCCCGTACCTGCACGCGGCCCAACCCCCCAGCTCCGCCGGCACCTCCACCGCCAGCAGCACGCGCCTCCGCGCCGACATCGACAAAACGCTCTTCTCGATGATCACGCCCGAGATCGACAGCCTCCTACCCAACCCCCAACACGGCGAAACGCCCCTGGACGCGATCCTGGTGGGGATCGAGACGCACATCTGCGTGACGCAGACGACGCTGGACCTGCTGAGTCGCGGGCACCGGGTGTATGTGATCGTGGACGGGGTGAGCAGCGCGCACGCGGAGGAGCGCGGAGTGGCGCTGCAGCGGCTGCGGGATGCCGGGGCGACGGTGACGACGAGCGAGGGGGTGTTGTTTGAGATGTTGGGGGATGCGGGGCATGCGGCGTTCAAGGGGGTGAGTGGGGTGGTGAAGGAGATGAAGGAGGAGACGAGGGGGGCGTTGGAGGCTTTGGCGCGGATTTAGGTCCTTTCTCTTTGGGGGCAGGGGGATGGGAGTGGAGGGTCGAGGAGGGTGGTGCTTGAGGTAGTCCGTAGACACAGGTTATTTTACTATGTGGAATATGCCGTGTATAGGATAGGAATATGCAACCGTTACTGCCTATAACATTGCTTCGTTTATGGTCATTACGGGACACTTCAGACAGACACAAAAGTAATAGGAGGGAAAATCACGCCGTGAACCCTGCGCTCTAATCTATTTCATTTAGAGCCAGTGCCAGTCATCATACTACGAGGCGCAGTGGACGGTTGAGACGCCGTATTGAGCCATCCAAACGCCGACGCCCCGCCAACCGGATTCGATGCCCAGGGTTTCGCAGTGCGCACACCACCGTCGGGCGAGGTGCGAGTGGAGGTCGGCTGCACAAAATCGGCCGGTGTGCTGCTGCCCGGGCCGGTGGTCATCGTCACCGTTCGAGATGGCGCCTTGCTAGGCCGCAGTACTTTCATAGTACGACCCCGAGGGGGCTTGCCCGTCGCCGCGGAGGCGTTCGGATCGCTTTTGGCATCGCGTTTCCACGAACCCCAAACTCCCGACGCTTCCGCACGAGCCGGCCCACTCGACGCGATCCCGGCAGGCTTCTCCTGTCCTTGAACCGGCTCCGGGTCGGCGAGAGTCTCCGGTGTCTCCGAGAGATGCGCCTTTCGACTATCCTCGGAGTCTTCCGTGAGATCCTGCGTTGAGTCGCTGGTGGACGCCGCTCGTCGAGATGTACTGGCAGGGCGTCCGATGACACCCACAGGCGCATGGCCGTTCATGTCCGTCGGGGCATCGACTGGGGCGACTTGTTGGTCCTTCCAGCCCGCGCGTGAAACATCCGAAGCCGTGCATAGTGACTTGAAGACAGCGTCGTCCTCGGGGCGGACAAGAGGAATGGATATCTTATTGCGCTCGTCATCGACCATGATGATCTTATCTTGAGAGAACAGCACGTCGGCGTTGTGGGAGCGGAGCACATCACTGCCAATGACAATCTGCACGGACGAGTCCCTGGGGTCGATCTCACGAACCAGGAACCGAACAGTCAAAGTAGGAACCTGGGGAGCAGGACTACTGGACCGCGAGGAGGATTGGTGCACGCTAGCCTCGGGAAGGTACATAGGAAGCTTGATGTACTGCACCTCGCCGTCCTGGACCAGCTGATCTTCCCAGCCGAATCTGCGGACCATCGGATACCCCAGTGAAGAGGTATAGGAGCCAGTGCAGACGGCCGCATACAACAGGGACTCGTTGGAAAAGTTGGTTGTCAACCAGCATCGGATGATGCACGGCACTGGCCCAAGAAGGAAAAAGCCGGGCGGGGGAATGAGCGGCGATCCCACGGCGGAAGAAGCCATCATTCTGCTGGTTGTCTCTAAGCCTAGACTATTCGTTCGAGCCGAGTGGTGCGAGTGGCCCGAAGAGCTTTGTCGTCCGTCGGACCGATGCGATAGCGACCGCTCAGTCATAGGGTGACTGCCTAGGCCACTTCCCGTCCTCAACGGCAGCTCGCTAGTTGATCGACTGGCTTGTCCATAGTAGCCGTGGATGGCACTCTCGTCGAACCGAACGCTGTTCGCCCGTGAGGTCCCACGCCTAGGCTCCTCCTCGGTTTCCAGACCCATTGTATTGACCACCGTGTGATGATTTCCTTGATCGAAACCCCTGAACGCGTCGGAGGGAGTATGGAAGACCGACTCTGTAGACAGATGACATCTTAGCCCAACTCTGGAGACAAGGCACAAGGAATACACATACCCGCGGGGATTGTGCCCCCAACAGAGGTGGGAAATGGCGATAAAGGACCCCACACGCTTCTCAGCCTTGCATCCTCGTCTCTGCGCCGCTCTAGTCGTGCTATCCGCTCTGCCTGCTCGAACTGGGCAGCGTGAAGCTCCTTGATCTCTTCGAAGACGCGCCAGATGTCGTCGCGTGAGGCAAATGGAAACTGTGCATCCATGTCCAGGTGTGCAAAGCGGAGTGATGGGGCGGCAGACCCAAAAACCTCAGACAGAATATGGACCGCGCAATTTCCCAGAATTATCAAACATACAACACAGGCTTTGTATAGAGTGCCGTTATCGCCCAATCCTCGGTGATCTGGTCAGGCCCGCTTGCTGATTCCGACGGTCCGCTGTTCCTCCAAAACTCCTCCTCCCTCGTACACTGTGAGACGGCCCTACGGCCGTCCACCCGGTCTGCTAAATGCAAATATCCGTGGAGTGATCTAGAGGCATATGCAAGCACTTGGTCGCCGATATACGAAGGGAGTGGCTGATAAAGCGTGCCGGACGATGAACGATAAGAGTGGAGAGGAAATGGCGGGAGGCTGATATGCGGATGGACGGATGAAACGTCGGAGCAGAGGTTGAGCGGATGCAGCGTAGAGAACGACCAGTTCACCGGTTGAGGGTCTGAGAATCGGGCAAGGAGTGGCTATGGACACGAATATCTATCGATATCTCCTAGAGCTGTAGAGCACGCGAGGTATTCTTGGCGTGAGGGGGCTTGATGAAAGGCGAGGATGGGCGGTGGTTTCTTTCCGACGGATCAAGGAAACGAAGGCGTGAGCGGGCCGTTAGGAAATAGTTGAGAAAAAGGATCAATGTGAGTTATATGGCGAGTAAGTGAGAAAGCTGGGAAGATCAGAGTAATAGTGAGACAAAAAGCGAAGGAAGGCTGGGAAGAAAGAGGAGGTTGTGAAGTGCCGTTGGATTGGAAATCATGAGGGGATCCCAATTCGACACTGTCGCCTGGAAACCAACCTTGAACCGCCGGCGGCAACCGCCCTCGGCTGAATCTAGACCGCTTTCATCATCGCCATTTCTTTGACCTTCCTCCAGTCCATTCTTGATTCTACCGTGATGCATCACTTTACATTATTCTTTCATCTAACAAATACAAGTATTGAATTACAGTGACCAAGTATTATGACCTCTACGTTCTTAGCAATGGCATTCCAGAGCAGACGGAGATCTCTCAGTTGACCTAGGCTCTAATCTATATACAATCCCGCACTCCACAACCACAGCTGACTCTTCACCGCGGAGCCTGAGGCCAAGGAGGGAAAATCATCGGAATATTCTGCGGCAGCATATCCGGCCAGTTTACTTCAATTGTCTTCATCAATACATCGTACACGATGCGGTACCCTTCCCCGGTCAAATGTAGTCCATCCGTGAACAAGCTGGCGAACTTCTCATCGTTCGGCAACTCCCTCGACCCCACCAACGGCTGACCCTCTTTCCATCCCACCGCCGTCATGAACGCGGTCCAGACGTCCACGACGGGGATCCCCAGGGAAGCGGCGAGGTCGCGGGCGCCCTCGGCGTAGAGTTTGGCGTTCTGGTTCGTGCGTGTCGGATGCGGGTTCCCCTTGCTCTTGTCGAAGAACTCCAGCTGATATTCGTTGATTGGGGGCGGGGTAATGATGAGGATGCGCGGGTTCTGCGCGATCGTGGCGGGGTGTTGAATGATGCGTTTGAGGTTCTCCTTGTACTGCTCCAAGGGGACGTACTGATTGAAAGCGGGGAGACAGGAATCATTGGCGCCAAACCAGAGGGTCTTTTATCAGTGTTAGCCAGGTGTTTTGTCTCGCGAAGGAGGCTTTAATCGTGGCTTACCATGAGTCGCACATTGGCTTTCTCCGGGGGAGGAATGCATTGTGATACCACTTTGATGGCGTGGCAGGTGGCATAACCGCTATAGTCCGAGTAGTGAAGGGTCAGTTTTGTTGATGGATGTAGTGCCACACATTGGAGTTCTCACGCTAAGCCACGGTTCACCACGTCGAAGCGGCGACTATATGCTACAGACGAGTCAGTATCTAAGGGTGAGGGTGAGGGGGCTTCACTCACCATGCTGCAATGCGGCGTGAAACCCGAAGCCCATATCCTGGTTGCTCCCAAACTCGGTGATAGAGTCGCCGAACAGAAGGATCTGATCGTACGGCTTGTAGGGCTGCTCCTGCCCATTTGCTGAGACTCCGTTTGCCATGATGTCGTAGTACAAGAGTGCTTGCAATTGATGTAAGGGAATTGAGGATAATTGGAACCTATTCCGCCGAGACGGAGCTTTTATTTCGAGCTGCTTAGATAGTGGGGGAGGGGGTAGTAGCGCTTACGGCCAATCGAAATTGTCGATCGATAACGATAACCGATACAGCTTAGGTACTAAGCAATTTGACTAACCTGGTTCTTGACCGGCGATTATACTTGCCTTTCCTTGCTGTCATAAAGTTATGGACAACTGTGTCCTTGAAAGTGAGAAGATGCCCTATATATCGATACTATAATCGTGACAGGCACCGAAGGTTCCGGCGAGGCCACTGCTGGGATTGGGGAATGAGGGACTCTTTCCCGAAGTTTCTCCACCAACGAGCGTCCGCGGAGGTACCCGAGTCTTTGGAACAACTGCGACAAGAACACGTCGCATGCCTCCATCTCCAAGGACATCAAAGTATTGGATTTGGGAGGAAATATCAATGGGTCACGGTCAGTATATACAGAGTCAGGGAGAGTCACAAAGTGCGGATGCGAAGACTTGTTATTCAATTTTTTATTTTTGGAATACAATCATCTCTTCGTAGGTTCGTCACAGCTATTCACACTACCGCACGGGATATACTGAGAGTAATATATAAATCATGTATAAACTACTCGACTACCTGCCTTCCATGTATACTTCAGCTCTAGCATACAGGATTAACCTCGCAAACTGGAAACTACTAGTGCTTAGTAGGGCTATCCATGCCTCCCCAATAACTAGATACGTCTAAGTTCAACTCTATGCTCTCCGAAAACCGCCCTCGTGGATCGCTTGTTACGAGCTTTTCTACTGTAGTAGCATGGAAGTCATGTCCTTGTAAGCCAGCTACTTGCCAATCGACGAACAACGGAGCGGATAATCAACTCCCGGGCTCCAGCTCATCCCTTCCGTCACGCATACCCCCGTTCAACTTGGCTCTCATCATCCACCATCAAGAACATAAATTCGTTCAATATTCCAGGGCTCACGAGGAGTCACCACCAACATGGGAGCTCGGGGCTTATGGAATGTCCATGTCGATGGTAAGACAGGGGTGGGGAGGATGGCTGTGTGTGAAATTGACATCTATATAGGGAAGTGGTACCGCTTGTATTACAAACCAACGGGGCGTATAACTTCTCCAGACACACCTCTTACTCTGCAAACCATTAGAAAGATAGTCTCGGAGACTGCCATCGAGGACTGGGAATCAATACCATTTCCCTCACCACTCCATATTAACATAGATTATGTATACAACATCGATAAGGACCTAGGACTCGTGACGGTAACTCAATGGACGGCCATCAGCGGTGCACTTTACCGGTGGATACGACAGGCAAAGCTTGCTGCAATTGAAGATTCCTCAATCAGCACGCTAGATGGTATTCTTGTCGATAACGAAGATATCTCTAAGCAGCATCGCACACAGTATACCGAAGCGGGACTAACAATATCACCAACGCTCAAGATAAACATCGCAAAGCCCACGTCTTTGACCGAGCTCCAACTTCGTCTGTTTACAGACTTCGTTTTCCTGTGGCGGTTCTATCTTGATGACCTACCGGCCTGGTCACATGACGCGCTTCTTCGAAAGACCCTTGCTTTTGGCCTTCTGCGTATTGCTGTGTGGGATTTCGAAATAATATCCGACACAGACACCGAAGGGATCCTAGACGAGATTATAGAAGAGATCCCAATTGGACAATACTCTGTCCCAAGGTGGTCGGCTCCATCTGAGAACACCTTTTGGTTTCATGGGTTTTTAGTCACTGTATACAGTGCTTCAGACATGCTGGAGAGGGCAGTCCAAGATACTCAGCGATATCTGGATAAGGATCAGCGTAGAAGGCCTGTTATCCATGTGATTTTAATCTCTTTGGGTTATGTTACTTTCGTCGAAATGACTGGTACAGGGGTACAGTACTCGCCGACTATACCTCTCGTCATCAACACTTCGGCCACACAACCCTCACCTGGATTTCGAGCTCTAACTTCTGTTCTATCTTCACACTCTTGGAGAATAATTCACAAGGACAGATGGGGGATCCATATACCTATAGAGATTCTTGATAGAATACTCAAGGTCTTGGCACCTAAGGATGTGATTGCATTTGCGCGAGCATCCTCCGCAGTGGATAGTTGGTATTATTCATCTCTCCATCAACTAGACAGGGTTCTTGTGCGGAGTTTCGATCTCTCAATCCCATGCTGTGGAGAACGACATAGAATCAACGGAGGCGGCGTTTCCTGCTCAACCTGTTATACATGGTACCACAGGGAGTGTGCTGGTCTCAGCTCTGAATCACAAGACGATGGATATGTATGTGCGGAGTGCCAACAAAACGGAACAAGGAACATTCTGGAGGCCGGGGGTATCTACAGAGCATGCCGGAAGATAGGACCGAAGCCCAGCTGCAAGGTGACTGTCGATGGGGAGGCGAAAGTGCTTAACTTGCGCACGGCGAAGCCAGCGGCCCGTCGGCCGGAAATGTTCCTCTATAGAGGCCTGTCAGTTCCTCCCAACGATCTCAATCACACCATCCGGTTCAATCGCGTTTTCTCCGGTCTAGCATACGGCCTTGACGAGGTATGAGATACATCATAATCCAGCGATTACAATACTGTATTTGGTGTCGAGGGATCAGGTCTGTAGAAGCCGAGAGAGTCCTATCTCTTTTTTGTAGCTCTCCGTTCCAGCTGTTCCGTCTCAACCCTGGACCCTTCTGCCTCAGGCCAGGCATTTCTCGCCTCGACAACCACAATCGAACCCCCCAACCGCTTTCTTAGTCACAAAATGGCAGCAACTGCCCAGCATGCCCGTGAAGGCCACGCGTACCAAGGAAAAGTATATGTGGGGATGCACCCGGGTCTTAGAAAATAGAAGCCCAGATACGGGGACCATGAACCCCTACCTGTGTCTTACATCGTATACGCCCCCAAGCACCTAAACCAGACCTAGAACCCACCATTCCACAAAGAAAGAGCCAACCCTGCCAGTGCCTCACCGGGACGCGAGCAGAAACGAAGACATCATGAATGGATACATCCGCGGGGATCCGAACGATGCTGCTACCCAGTATACATGGACGGATTCCGCCCCACAACGATCACCCATTTGTCCGAGCAAAGATGGAGCTATAGACATCTGTGGAGGCATCCACTGTCCAGAATGATTGGGGAGAGCTGATGTGAGCGCTGTGGAGAGGACCACAACTGTGGGGATGGGTGGTGCTGTGGAGAGAGAGAGAGAGAGAGAGAGAGAGAGAGGGATGTGGACGGGTGGGAATACAGGGAAGAGAGGGGAGGATTTCCTTCTTAGGATGGGGCAAAGACACCACCACAAATGCAGCGGGAGGTGTGGGATTGTGGTGGCGTCCTGGGCGTTTGCTCCACCGCGCTGAGCTGCAAACTGAGGACTTTCTCGGCCGGGCCGGAGGGTGGGATGGAGCTGGAGCGGAGCTTGCTTCTACTCACTTGACTGTTCCTTGCAATAGATACGGACGGGATTGTGCCTGATCTGAAAACTCGGTGACCAGTCCATGAGCACTAAACTTAGGAGTTGATGAGAGTACATCAAAGCCACAGGGAAAAACAGCATTATAGTATTATCATATCGCGGAGCATTGCTCACGAGATAGGGGCTACCGGATACGAGAAACGTGTAAGCTTTGCCATGCATCTTGGGGAGAAAGCTGGGCAGGGCGCCGGATTACGCATTCGTGAGGTTCGGCCGTGGATAATCGGGGATTACACCGTCTTTGCCAAGGTCGTAAACTCAATTTGTTCAAGCAGACATAGATGTGGGGAAAGATGTGTTGGGAAACTGTTGAATGCTATTGTGGAGGATGGCGCTTGGCTGAATATGCGTGATGCTCAGGCTCCAAGTACTTTACCAACGTCCAGCACATGATTTCTAATCTTAGGCAGGTGTGGGATTGATGCAGGGAAAGAGTCTCTTGGCTCACTTCTGTGGAGAACCCACGCAACCCCCACAGTCTACTGGATTGGCTCGGACTCATGGAACACAATCAAAAAGAGCAATTAGCGGGGGCCTGCTGTCTACTGTAGTCAAGGGTGAACGGGAATTTATGTTTAGCTGCCTTAGTTGGTTTCGTACTGCCACGTGGAGGACCACGGGGCTAGAGGCACGAAAAAGACGGGGTAGGCTATGCAGAATACATGGCCCTGGAAGAAGGCTATCAGTGTGGATGTACTTATTGAGGACTTTACATTGTCAAGATGCCTCCGACCTTGGATACTCGAGTACAACTAAGTACAATTGTGATTGAACCATGAAAACCGTAAATGTCATAAACTATATATCTAAGCGGCCTGACGCCACTTCTTGCCATAGATCTGCACCGCAATTATAGGCAAGAAGCTGACAAGGAACATCAAGGCACTTCCAACTCCTGAGCTGGCGGCAATTCCAACGTTGTCAAACATGTCGGGGAACCTGCTTGGTATTAGCACACAATTCATTAGTGAAGGGTATTGGCAGTAAGCTTACCAGAATGGACCGATAAAGCCCCACATCTGACGGACGAAGGTGATGAAGACACCGACACTGCCTGAATCCTCCGGGTAGCAGTCGACGGCGTATGTGACCATGACAGTCGTCACCAGCTGATTACCAAAGGCAGCAATGGCGGTGCCGACCAGGGGAGAAACAATCCAGTGGTCTGCCTTGGCTTGTTGAATAGTCACCAAGAAGACAATCACGCCCACAATGGTCAAAATGACACCGGGGTAGCCGAGCCAGAGGCGATATTCGGGCTCAGGCCGGTGTTGAGTCTTGCGTGCCCGGCGGCTCATCCAGATATCAGACATGGTGCCCCCAATCTGTTCACCCAAGACTGTACCAATAATGACACCAATGAACTGGAGTCCGAGCTGTTCGGCGTTGAGTCCGAACTTGACCTGCACGAGTTGGGGTACTTCCACCGTGATCATGACACTGCCGAACAAGAAAACCATGGCGTACGCGCATGCGGGAATCATCACACTAGGTCGTTTGGCCATAGACAGAGGATGAAGGAACTCGCGGAAAGTCAGGGGAGTCGGGTCGATTCGCCGGAAAGACAGATATTGCGCTTTGAAATCGGAGATACCCTCTGCGCTGCCGCCCACATATCGGGTTTCAGGGCCGAAAAAGAGGTACAAGACGAATTGGACGCCGTTGATGATAGCCAAAACCCAGAACATCCACCGCCAGCCGACTCTATATGTGATGAAGCCGTAAATCAAGGGCCCTGAAAGACAACATTAGCAATGAACTTATACTCGGTCGCGGGAAAGACCTACCAACTGGAACACCGAGCGTCACCATCAAGGTCCAGACACCAAGGTATCGGCCGCGTTCCTTCTTGAAGAATGTCTCGGTAACGACGGCGCTTCCGATCGCCGCTGCAGGAGAAATGAAAAAGGCCGTAAGGGCTCTGCACGCGGCCAAAGATGCGTAGTCAGGGCTTTTCGCACAGCCGATATTGCACACCAGACTGCAAATGAGTGATAGAAGAAAGATTGGTCGGCGTCCGTAGCGGTTGGAGAGCGGTTTCCAGAACAAAGGTGCACCTCCTAGAATAGCGATCTGTAGTGAGGTAAGGTAACTGGCTCTTTGCATTGATACGCCGAAGTCTTCTGCAATACTGGAGTAGGCGGGGATGATGGACGCTGTGAAGGTGGCCATGCAGGCATGGAAGGCAACGAGGATCAGGTTGGAGAGTTTCTATGAGAAGCAGCATGCTTAGTATACTATATTGTCGGAAAAAATGCACGGGGCGTTTACCTTCCACAGGGGCCAGTTGTATGGATCCGCGGCCGACGGACTGGGGATCGGATCCAAATCTAGGGTTCCATGGCGCTGGATAAGATAGTCTTTGTGTGATTGTGATAGGGAGGCGGCGGCAATCTCGGCATAGGACGAGGGGCCCTCCTCAACCTTCTCGAAGTATTCGCTGCTATCTTTCTCGATTTTCGTTTCTTCGTGGGTCTTGGGGGAGGAAGAAGGACGGACGTCCTCCGTCATTTCGATGGAGGGCATAACTCCTCTTGTTGAGCAGAAGTAATCGGTTGATTGTGGTAGTGATGTTGGGGAGGGTTATTGCTGACAGGCACCACGGCCGTTGGACGACTTGACAATGGATTTCTCGAGTGCAGAGAAGGGGGGTGTAGAAAACTGGACCCCAGATAAGGGCCGTCCAGGGTTATAAGCGAAACGACCATTGCTCACGGTCCTTCTCCGCATATTCCGCAGCTAGAACCAGTTTGAGCAAGCGCTAATTGCTCTGACGGGCAATGCATCTAGATTGCAGAGTTGAGCGAGGTCCGGGGTCTGCGTACGTATGTCTGGGGGTGGGCCATCAGCCAGTGAGAGGAGGCGATAGCTGGACATGGAGTGTGGAGAGGAGCGTGGGGATGGGTGAGATCCCCACAAACAACATTCTCAACCCCTCGCTCGCCCAATCAATGTTCAATGTGATGTGGAAGGTGGCGATAGCTGATTGAGGCGACCAGAAAAGACGGAATTAAGCGTGCTGGAGGAATGACTCGGATCTTGCCCTTTTAGTCAATCTCCCCCGGACGACCGGGCGGTTTGACCCACTTGGGTCTTCTCTCCTCCCTCCTAGACTCCTCACAACCCCGGATCTGTGGGGAAGGCCGAAACTGCCCTTTCCTCCTCGTCAACTGCACTGCTTGCTTCGAAAATAGCTTATGCGATGAGACAGCAAAATAACTTCACATCAACTTGAAGGAAAGATGCCAACTTCATGATTCCAGCGATTGTCCATTCCACGGACGGCGTACCTCTTTGCATTCTATCTCCGAGGTGCTAAGCCTCGCATTCTCCGGTCCCCACAAAGCTTGACGGAAACGTGATTCGCAGCAGCGGAATTTTTTCCAACAAGAGTCAGGGCGAGTGAGTGCGAAGGAATGTGGCGCTTAGCTTCTTGAGGCACCGGTCAAGACAAGCCCAGCTGACGTCTGCAACGAGATAGTCGGGACTCGGTGGCAATGTGAGTCCCAACCCCGTGGCCTTCCCCACACAGCACCTAGTCGGTCAGCTCTTAGCTCAGCTGCATCCCCAAGCAGGGTCAATTGGTATTGATCATGGAGTAGTTGATAAGCAGACACCAATGCAAGACTAATCAATGCTGGTTTAGTGCACTCCACGAGCGGTCAACCCCATTTTTGACCCCATTGCATTTGCTTGCACCACATCTGCCAGTATGACAGCAGGTTACCCCCTGACAACGACTCTTAGAAAGATACTGTTGGATTGTAGTAGAGAACTCTGGAAGCTTGTGGGTCACTTTTCCGACCGCCCGTACCGCGCGATTGATAAGGGCCTGGTTCGGTAAGATGTTGGAGCAATCGAGACCTCGAGCACAGTGCTGTGAGGTACGGTAGCCTAGCTTCAATCCGTGATAAGCTGACGAATCCCGCTTCTAGCCATTGTTCAGCAAATTCTCTGAGGCTGATCCACTGCCCGACCCCCTCCTTCCAGCAACACACGGCGGACAGACCCCCCCAAAAGTCTACTGAGCTTTTCACAGAATCGAAGTGGTTTATTGCGCAATTCGCATCATACTTGGTGTGTTTATTTTCATTGATTGCGGTATATCAGCACCTACTACTGGCAACTATCGGTATGAACGAGTGGTGGTAGAAACATTGGCAACAATAAATCTCACTGGTCGGCCAAAGCGAAACAGAACTCATTCACGCGCGCCAGAAACAGCTACAATTCATCTCCTCGCTCAGCGCAAATCTCGCAGCGATCTCGTCAATTGAAACTCTGCTAGACACGACGGCTGTCAAACGCTACGCTCCCAGTTGCCGCTCAAGCCGTGGTTGTCACTGCCGTGCCCGAGGCAGTAATGGTGGAGCTCGATTGAACGAGGGAGACTGCCTGGGGGATCAGGGTCGGACCAGGAACAACATAGGTCGAGAGCGACTGGTAGATATTGACAAGAATCCCAGCGTCCGTGGGTTTGTACAGCTCCGTGCCCAAGACTCCGGAAGGCTGGACCGTGCCGGTTCCAGTAACCTGAAGGTTGAAACATTGCATATAATTCTGGGCTCCATTCTCACTTCCTGCTCCATGCAGAGCGATTAACTCGTGACGCAGCACATAGTATCCTGGAGCGATACTTGCTGGAATCTCCACCAGCCAGGAGTTGTTGTTGGCGATGAGCTCATCGTCTCCCCAGATACCAGGCGGATTGCTCTCATCCACCAAGCCAACACCATCGATCTTGAAGAACTCGAGGGTGGTTTTATCAACTGTCTCGCAACTGGAACCGCAGTTGGCTAGATAGCTGATGACAGGACCATGGTGGCTGTCAGGCCAGGGCGTCCATTGGAGGCTGATCTTGTCACCAGCAGCGACGACTGCGTGGCCTCGGGCATTCGTAGCGCTCAGATGACAAATCACATCATCCGTGTCGTATGCGTCGGGGGTGATGAAGCCGTTAGCTGTGTTGGGTGTTTGCCATGCAACCACCACCGGAGGGTTGGAGTTGTAAGGGTCCGAATTGATGTCCCATCCGCGGTAAGACACCCCGTTGATCACAATGTTTGACACATGACCATGAGCAGCTACGCTGGTAGCAGCTGAGAGAAAGGAGATGAGTTTGACAAGCATGTTGATGTTATTCAAGTTGTTCGTCAGATCAATGCTAACACGGGCTTGTTATAGATGAGGCTTGCGATTCAACTGTCTTCACCATAACGAGCAGGACCTTTATATCTCCATCCTCCTGGGTAATCTTAACTACACCCATTCCTCTTCTACAGAGTTCGACCCACGGAGCTTCCCCCGCAAAGAATCCGCGTCGTGCGACCGTAGAGCCAAGAATTACGTGTATCCCGCTGACTGAGAACCAAGGACGGGATCGTTTCGTCGAGAATACGGGCGACAAGCGATACATCAGCAAGGACGGCTTTAAAGACTCGTCTTGCGACTCAGGAGCCAAGGTCTTGGAATATCATCTCCGCTCTTGAATGGCAGGATTACATGGCCAGCCAAGAAGAAAGTTGGGGTAGTTGATGCAAGAACGTGCAGCAGTTTTACGTTGACGAGATCAGTGCATGCCTGAAGACGCGGCTGAGTTTTTGTCGGCTGCTCTTCATTACTGAATTGTCCATCAGAACTAAGCTTGATTCCCCACGGAGAGAAGCCGCTCGGTCGTATGGCGCTTCGGCCAAGACAGATCTCCGGTCCGCTTCGAGAATGGAAGCCTCCGCCATATGCATGTGTGCCATTGTGTTTGTATCAAGAAGACTCACCTAGTCTTGATACGACGAGAATCTCTTCTCTGCGGCCGCAGGTCCACAGGAGGTATCAAGGACTGCGCGAAGAGAAGTCAATCACAGCAAGCGTTGGTCCTCTGTTATATCAACCACCCAAGAAAAACAATGAGACTAAGTACTTCATGCACCGAGAAGTACATATAAAGTGTACCTGCAGATCACTTTCCCCGGGCATGGCTAAATTGCCGGACATGCGTCAAATTAACCATGGGCGACGGATAAGCGGGATTGCCTCCGACGGCGGGCAGGGTTCAATGGCTTGGCTGCCACGACAGTGCGAGTCATCTGCACATTTGCCGTGAAGACATGGCACATCGCTTGGATGCGTCTTTTCGATAGATTCCGCGTCTGAACCTGTAAGACTTGTCTGGTGCATGCATTGTCTGACTTAGGCATCGATGAAGGGTCCATCTACCTCCCACTGTCTGACCAGGTGCGGACCGAGCCGAGTACTGTACATGCGTACTATACTCCCCAGCAGCCACAGTGAGCATATGAACCCTAAGAAAAGACAAAAGCAACCAACGGCATAAGTAACACTGGTCACCAAGAGCCTTGTTGTAGGCACTCTGTTAGCATATTGCTGGGCAAGCACCCTGTCCTTCCGTCTTCCCCAACCCTAGATCATCTTCATACAAGTCAAAGTGATGCTTATTATACTGTGATTAGGCCCCTTCCCAGCATGATTCTACTGAGATTTCCGATTACGTGCTTGCGCTCTTCTTATTGACTCTTGGCCGACCGCCCAAAAGTGAATCTCCGTTTCAGCTGTTGATTCGCAGCCCCGACCCCCCGCGGTGTCGGTTTCACGGGCACATAGTGTTTCTCGTCATTCTCAAAATACTCGCCGATGTCGAGAACGCGGCTGGTACTCGTGATCAACAATTTGTACAGCGCTCCTCCAGCCCCCAGCAGCTTGACGAGCTTCTTGACGAGGCGCTTCGTCTCCCAGCCGAATTCGTGCGTCTCGTAGTAATTGATCCCGTCGAGGATCATAAAGACTGGCCGTCGGCGCGGAAGGGCTTTGATCAATTTGCGCAAAATCGCGATGAGAAAGTCCGGCGTCAGGTTCGATATGGAGCCCTTGAACGCCTGGGCGTCGTTGGTGCTGAGACATTCCAATTCGCTAAACGTCCACTACCGCAGGAGCTGAGACAGAAGTAGGGGCATCCAGACGGAGCCTGCAGACCCGTCGCGGTGGTCGGACGGCGGGTGCAGCCCGCAGAAATGGTGCAGGACGATGATGGGCTCAAGGCTCTGCAGGCTCTCGATCAGCAGAGCGCAGAAGAAGGGAAGGGGGCTAATCCGTTGCAGAGCCCAGTTCCCGTGGATGACGAGCGCGCGCGAGTGTCGTGATTTAAACCACCCGTACACTTTGGGGTCGGAGATTGCCCAGCTCGCCCGTTGCTGGTCCGGTCATGACATGGAGAATCCGACTTGGAGCACTCGCTGCAGGGGTCGAGGACCGGGTCGCCGAGAAGGATGCCAAGGCCGCCGTGAAGGGCAAGGAATGGAGGCATACCCCGGTCCTCAAGGCCTGGGAGGAAAGCTGCGACCGACGCGATAGTCGGAAGTATCAGCCCAGTCGCGCCGCCGACCCCCGGCGGCGAAAGGTAGAGCAATCCTCGGAGACTTCGATAACGGAATCTAGCGAGGCAGAGTCCCATCAGCATACTTCGTCGGAGCCGGATAGCGATGATGACTCAGAAGGCGAGGGGGAGAGAAAAGAGGCAGAGGAGCCTCCCAGCTCAGATGAAGTGCCCTCATTGCGGGAGTCGCGGAAGCGTGCAGATCAGAAGAAAGGCTCGCAGACGAAAGACCGTAAGCATGGGTCTGGGGAGACCCGAAAGAATAGTACGCGATCCTCGAGAAAGAATAAAGACAGTCGTTAGAGGGCTGCTTTGGCTGTTACTAAGTAAGTTCTGGAACCGGGTAAGAAGGAATAAATATTCAGTACAGACACGAGTCGTAGGCCTATGTTAACATATAACTACTTGAATAGAGGGTCATGAGATAGGATACTTGAGCTAAACTGCTGTACCTGGAGTAAGGGCTTTAGCTCCATTCACTTTATTTACAACTACTCCAAAATACTCGCGACCCAGAGAGAGACCACTCTAGATTAAGCCTTGGAAAAGACTGCAAAGACCAAGGACCGGTCCGACCGGACTGCACCAGACCGGACTGTATTAGTTTTTAATTCTAAGTTTTAAAACTACTGGGCAGTTCTAGATTATTAAAAACTATACTACTATAGTTTAGTATAGTTTTATAGTTTTATAAATAAAATAAATAGTTTTATATTTATAATATATATAAATTATATATAGCTAATTTATTTTTTTATATTCTAGTTTTATTAGTTTATTTTTTATATTATATTGTGACGGCCGATCAGATTAACATAATTCCATTAATTTAGTACTATCTTGACAAAATCTTAAGTATAGGAAGGAGAAGAAAAGAGGAAGACAGCTACATATTTCCACAATATTATTTTATCTATATATATATATTAAATAAAATAAATAAAGCAAATAAGTTAAATTATTTTTAGCTTAGTAATTTATATAGGATTTTTTTAGTTTACTTTTATATTACCTCCTGGGTTTAGAGTGGCTTAACCTGACTGTTATACCTTAACCTTAACCTAACCATAACTATTTTTTTAACTGTTTATATCTGCTGATTAGAAAACTTAGATATAGTAGATAAATTATTAACTATAGATTAATTAATAATATATATATTACTTTTATATATATTATATATAAAATATAATATATTGTTAATTATAGTATAGTAATATTCTTTAAATTTAACTAATTTATTTTATTTACTTTATCTGCTTTATCTGTTTTTTTAATAGATATACTATACTTTATAAAATACTTTTACAGAACCTAGTATAATAAAAATAATATCTAATATTAAATTAATATACTAATAATTTTATACTACTTTTTATACTGTTTAGAATAGTAATTATATTAATATAAAAATTATAAAGGCTGGGCCTTTATTTTTATTTAAATATATATAATATTTAAAAATTTAGATAAGCCCAGCTCTTTCTATTCTAGTAATAATCTATTTTTAAAATTATTTTTAAAATTATTTATATTTTTATTTTTACTAATATAGAAAATAGTAATTATTTTATTCTTTTTTTATTCTTTTAGTATAAAAATAATTAAATTTAAATTAAAATTATTAAAAGTATTTTTATATTTTTTATTAATTATAAAATAATTAGTATATATTTAAAGTATAATTATTTTAATTATATTAAAATAAAAACAGCTTTAATAATAATAGCAGATATTTTAAAAACTATTAAATAAATATTTAATACTAATACTATTAGTTATAACTAAAAAAAATCTTTAGCTATTTAATAAAAAATAAAAAATTAATTTTTATATAATTTTTAGTATATAAAAATATTAGTATATTTAATAGTACCTAAAACAGTATTAGTATAAACTAAAATATTTTAATAAACTATATATTTTTAATATTTAAATATATTTTTAGTTTTTTAAACATCTCTGCTGCAGATGAAAATTTTTAGTATTTAAAAATATTATAAAAAACTTTATTTAAATTAAATAAAAATCTAAAGACTGTTAATAGTATATTAACAGCTGAATTTTAACTATAATAAAAATAAATTTTTTTTTAAAAATAATTTAATACTTTTTGTACCAGTTAATATTATTATTTAACTACATATTTTTTTTAAACTTTTTAAATTTTAATATTAGATTTAGAATAGTTATAATTATATAAATATAATTTTTTATTTAGTAAATATAATACTAGTATTTTTAAAGCTTTTAATATATATTCTGCAGACCTTTAAAAACTTTTTCTTTAAAATATCTGCTTTTATACCAGTTAATTAATTAAATAATTTAAATAATTAAAAATATTATTATAAATATTATAAATTCTATAAATAGTAGACCCACTATTTTTAAATAAATAAAATATAAAAAGAAAAAAAAGATATAAAAGCTTAAAAAATACTCTATATATTTTTATTTTATTATAGTGAAATAAAAATAATTAATATTATTATTATTACAGTACTTAATAAAGCTTTAAATTAGTTAATAAAATTTATATATTTAATAAATTATAAAATAAGTTAAGTTTTAGTAGATTTTACAGTTAAAAAAATAAAAAACTAAACCAGATTTAAATCTTTAAATAAACTAAAACTTTTTATAGTATTAAAAACTTATATTTATAAATTATATAATTTTTTAAATCTATAACTAAAAATTAGTATAGTTAATAAAAAAGTTTTAAAAGCTATTTATAAAAGGCTTATATAGATAATTTTAAAAGCTGTTTATAAAAAGCTAATGTAAAGAAATTTTTGAAAAAATATTTATATAAACCTTTTATAAACAGCTTTTAAAATATATCTTTTTAAAAAATTTTAAAATATTAAAAAAGATTTTAAAACTGTTATTATTATTTTTTTATATATATTTAATAGTACTGTTTACAGTTTTAATTCAGAGTTTTTATAAAAAAGTATTAATTATAAGCTAAATTATATAAGTAAGATAAAAAATATAGTACTGCTTTTAAATAATTTTTAAAAAAATTAGAATTAGTTAAAATATTATAAAGCTAAGTACTTTAGCTAAGCTAAATTTAAAGCTTAAATAGAATTATATTAAATATTAAACTATTATTACTAGTATTATTAATTATTATATTTAATAATTACTAAAAAAGATTATATTTATATAAAACTAATAAAATAATTACAGATAAATTTTTACTAGTATAAAATTTAAATACTAATTAAAAGTCTAGTAAAACTTTATAGTAATTTATATTTTTTATTAAAAAATAATTAATTAAAGTAAAAAATATTTTTTAATTAAAACTAATATAGCAGTCTACTGTAATTAATATATTTTTAATATTTAAAAATTTCAGTAATAATTATATATATACTTTTTTTAATAACTTTAAAAAATATTTTTTAATTTATATTTAATAAAAAGGGCTTAGCTTTTAGTAGAGAAATAAAATAGTAAAATTAATTATTTATTTAAATTAAATATATTTAAGTATTTTGAAATAGTAGATAACAGATAATTATAAAATATAGAATCTAATTTTAAAACTTTATTTATTATATACTGTAGAGGTCTAGAAAAAAATATTTATTAAAAAATATTTATTAAAAAAAATTTATTTTAAAAAAATAAAAAAATATTTATAATAATTTTTTATTTAGTATTTAAGTAATTATTTATTTAAATATAATTAATAATATTTTTTTTATAACTTTTATAAAAATAGTAGCTTATAAAACTAGTTTTTTAATTTTTAAAATTTAAATATTATAAAATATAAAAATATATTTTATAATAAATATAAAAAATTTTATTAAAAAATAATACATCTTTTTAAAAGCTGTTTTATATTATTAATAACTTTTTTTAACTAAAAATAAATAATATCTTCCAAGTATTAATATAAGTTTTAAGAAAATTATTTTTTACTATTAATTTTTAAAAATAATAATTTTTTTTTAGGAAAATAAATATAAAATAATTTTTTAATTTTTTGCAACATGTGTAATCTTAAGGTTTAAAAAAATAAAAAAAACTAATTTAAAAAACTTATTTTAATTTAAAAATTATTATAATTTATAAAAATTTAAAAAAAAGCTTAATACTATTTTTTAAAAATAAACTAAATAATTATAGTTAACTTATAATTTTAAAACTACTCTGTAAATAGTAGATATAAAAAAATAAAAGTAAAAAAACTTTATAAAAATAGTATTATTTTAATTATAAATATATTTTTATATAAATATAATTTATTATATTTTTATATACTACTAAAAATACCTGCAGTACTTTTTAAATTTAGCTGTTTTATAAATAAAAAACTATATTTAAAGCCTAAAAATATAAAAACTTTTTTTATTTTAAATAAAGCTTAATTAAATATAATAAATTAAAGTCTAAAAAAGTTTTAAAAAAAAACTGTTCTAAAAATCTGCTAAAATTTAGTATCTAATTTTTAACTAAATAGTTTTTAGTAAATATAGTTATTAAAAAAACTAGATAAATAATATAGTACAGGTTTTATTTAAAAGTTTAACTTATAATATATAATTTAACTTTTTTAAATAAAAAAAATTAATAGACTATCTAAACTAAAATGAAAAAAATAAAAAATAGATTAAAAACTATATAGTTATTTTTAGTAGTCTAATTAAAAATATATATATATAGTTTTAATAATATAATATATTATATTTAAAATATATAGTTTAAATAAAACTATAATTATATATTTTTTTTTATATTTTATACTATAATAGCTACTAATTTATAAAAAGCTAAATTCTATTAATACTATTAAATTTTTTTTATTATTTTTTAAAAATATAAATAATAAAAATATTTTTTTTAAGTTATTTTTAATTTATTTAAAAAGCTTTTTTTTATATATTTTTTAGTAATAGTTTAAATAACTAGATTAATAACTATTTAATTTTAATATACTTTAACTGTACTAAAACTAAAAAAAGTATAGTAGATAAATTTTAATATTAAAAATAATTAAAATAGTTAACTATTTAGTTTTTAGCTATACTATAGTTAGATATAAAAATTTTTTTAATTTA